GTAAAACACTAAAACCAAATCAACTTAGCAGATGCTGTAACTGAGAAATGTGCTTTTGTAAAAATATAACCTCATTGTTAAATTTCAAAACTTGTTTGGAAAGCGTCATCAACAGCTCCAAAGGTCAGAAAAGTTCAGGGTTTGTTTTGTCATAATATTTAATTCATTTCATTTTTATTAATGTAGTGATAAATCAGAACAAGAGGTGCCTCAAACGCTTTATATTGTAAGGCAAAGACCCTAAATAACTGTATTTAACAGCTCCATGGGCAAGCTTAACTTTTGAGACTGAACATATGATCAAACACAGCTCGAGTATCTATCAGATCAATCAGAGTGACAATGGAGAAGCTGACTTTCACTTGGGTCGTTTGTCTGCAGCTCAATGCTGCTCTCTAGTGGAGAGAGACGGCACTGAGAAACACTGATGCAGTTAAGAAAACTCTGTAAAAGTACATTTAAACCTTTAAGCTGCATAATAGTTCTTAATAGTTGAGCATATACAGAAAACTATCCCATCCAACTCCACAGGCCAGTGCATGAACCAAACCACCATCAGCCACTGACACTCATTTCCATGAGTATGCTCTAACCTTCAACTGGTTCAATGCATCACCACCTTTAAAAAATAAAGCGCATGTAACAGAGTTTTTCTTTGAAAGGCTGTATCAACCCTTCTGTATTTATATTTGTCTAACAGCGCTTTTTCGTATAAATTCGGAAACTTTCATATGCAAATTTAACACTCTTCTAGCCAGAGAAATCCTCGCAGGTTAAGCAAAGTGATTATGTTGCACTGACATTTGATAACTATTAACTGAAAGAGAAGCAACCCTGTTAATGGAGAGGAAGACGTTTTGCTAGCTGAAACAAGACTGCAATGTTTTCAATAATACTGCAGCAAACTGACCATTTTTAACTATCGTACAAGCCCCAACGATGTAAATCCCATTCAGACAGCTCGACAGGTGCAAATCACACAAGAAGTCTCCCTCAGATGCCATCACAATGGTAGTTTTCAAAATACATTACCATCATGATTGTTTTATTATCAAAATGCATTACATCTCTTGCTTTTTAAATCTTCTGGAGGAGAACAATTGAAATAGTTACTACTATGATCTGTGTAAAAATAAAAGCAAACCAACAGAAGGATCTTTACAAAAACAACAGAAAAAACGCAGCGCCTGGTTTTTGGAGGAACCCCAGAACAGACCCAATGATTCGCTTCCATCCATCTGACAAAAGGTGGTCACTCAGACCCTACAAACAAAGATCATGCGGTAAATTCAGTGTACGATATTTTCTCCATACAAGTCTATATCACATTTCTTTCTATACAAGTACACATAATCATACATAATGTCCTATTGTGTTTTTAGGTCGTATCTCTTTCAGTTTAAGGTGCTGGTTAATTTTGGGTCACAACTTTTATTTTTTTCCATATCTGTCAAACATTCATGTAAAATGAGTACCCTCCTGTGTGTTAGTGAGGGGAGAGGGTGGTGAGTTGTAGTGGTGGGTGTGTGGTGGTGTCCAGTTGCACAACTGGTCCCCTCGGTCCTTGAAGTCGTCCACGCAAACGCGGCCATTCCCCCCCACATCCGGTCCTAAATGAAAACGTGAGGGAGCAGGCGGCCACCCTTGTCGCCTTGACATTAGTCTTAGGTCCTGCTGCGGCCGACGGGGGACCGTCGCTTTCTTCACAAGTCAGTATGTGTTGGTAATTAAAAGGGAAAAAATTCAAACAAAATACAGCATTCTGTGGAAAGGGAAGCAGCTCCAACAGGAGAGGATAGCAGCTTTTTTTTCACCTCCCTCGGAGATCCTCGCCCCTGATTCCCCTCAGCGTCACACGGAATGCAACGATTGGTCAGACAAGAGGAAAAACAAACAAACTCTGCAATATGAAAACCCAACAGCTTGGCTTAGAAATATAGCCCCACTAATAAACTTCTTTTTCCTGCACGAGTGTGTAGATTTGGAGAACAAAAACAATGAATGCAGCCTTGTGGGGTGGAACATAACTGGATTATAAACTTATAACAAATACAAACAAAACAAAACATGCAGCACCATGAATCAAAGAGCTGTATTTCTCAAGTATAATATCAGAGCAGTCCTAAAGTGAAACCAAAACAGTCCAGTGAGGTGAGAGAACAGAAGATAACACCAAGGCTGGGTCGCTGGGGGGAAATGGGCTGGTTTCATGTTTGAGAAAACGGAAGCTGGTATTTCTATGGAATGATCCTAGTTTTCAGGGAGAGCTCAAACTCCCCGTCTCTCTAATGCATCTATATAACGGATGATTAACAGGTCGTCTTCCCCCCTTACCAAATGAAACAATTACTGCAGCACAGACTCGGCCACTCGCCGAATCAGGTAACCTCGACCAAAACAAACAATTTAAACTATAACTCTTGCTTTTAGTTACATATGCATTTCAGCATTTCTCCAACCTGGATACCACAGTGACCACAGGTGTGGTAGAACTTTGTACAGACATTTGTGTGGAAGGTTTTCATTTCTGACATTATCGAGCCTCTCGAGGAACAATTTCAACTTACATATGATTTCTTTGTTTTTCTTTTTCTCTGAACGTGTCGTCCGAATCACTTTTCCCTCTGATTCGCTAATAATGTCCAAAGTCAATGATTCATCTTTGTGCAGGATGTGCTAATTATTTTTTTATTCTTCTGAAAAGAAAGAAAAGAAAAGACAAAAAATAATATGGGACAAATTCTCAAACAAGTCCTTGTTCTTCTTAGGTCTGTACATTTGCCCTCCCCAAACTCCTGATCCCTGTTGTACTGCAGCCTCAGGGGTTGAGGAGATGCACAGCTCACACTCGCGCGCACACACACACAAACACACACACACAAACAAGGTCCTAAAAGCTTCCTGACTGTGTCCTTACTCCGGATCCCTGGAGGGAAGAGTGCTGGAACTGACTGAGGTTCGTCCCTCGCTGGGGGTAGTGTGTCGGTCCGGAGGCCGACAGCAGTCTGGGGCTAGCCTGCAGCACTGCCTGACCTGGGCTGCCTGACTTCAGGCTGCGAGGTGCCTGATGCTGACTCCCTTTGGAGGCCTGCGCACCAGAGTCTGTTTTAGTCTGCCCATGGACCCGGGATCCTGGGGTAGGAGCCCCCACCAGGCCGCTGCTGTTCAAAAGGCTGGCTTTTAAGTGGCTGCTGCTGTAGCCTCCGTCCGCGCTACTGCTACCACTCTGCTGGTGAAGCGAGCCTGTCGCTGGCCTGGAGTCTGTTGAGGAAGTGGGGGTGGGACTTGAGTATGAGGCTGGGGGGTGGTCCTGGGCGTGTCCTTGGTGGGAAGAGGAGAGGCGCTGGTAGACGTTCTGGCCTGATGACGGGCTGTAGGAACACCGGAATGGCGAGCTGGAGGTCTGCTGGAGGAACATCGGGCTGTCAGTCTGTCTGTGGCTCTCTGTGGCCTGCACACAAGTACACACATAGGCACACTGTGTGACACTTCAGCTCATTTCCAGCTCTAGATGTTTAATTTGTTTTTCAGAGAAGAGGGGGGAGGGAAAAACAAAAACACAACTCCTTTTTATTTTAAGAGGGGAGCCGCTCTTAAAATGAAGCAAGTTTGAGCAGTTTTTTCCCTCAAGTCTCGTCTCAGGTACCGTATTCATCTTTCAAGGCCGACACGCCTGAAGTGATGCTACACAGGGTCAAATATCGAAACCTTGACTATTACTTCTACAACGATCTCTTATCCTGTTCCACTGTTTCTCTTAAACTTTGCTGCTGTAACTTCACGCTGCCCACTTTCTGCAGCGACACAACAAATTCCCTACGTGTGGGACTAATAAAGGCCATCTGATCTCTATTATCGTATCTTGTTGAAAAACATACTTGTATAGAGGGATGACTGCACCTCTAAAGAAAATGGAAGCGCTGAATTTAATAGGACAAATGAATTCAGCAGACTAATTGTTTTTGATCATCTCCTTCATAACGGTTGGAGAACAGAAGTCATTGTTGAATACTGAACTTAATTTACAAGTAACGCAAAACACGGACAGCAAGTTCAAAGTGATGTGGACCAGCTACCTGGTGAGAGTAAACAGAGGGGCTGTATCTGTGTGGACTCTTCGTGGAAGGAGCCATGGACGCTGCCTGCATCTCATATCGATCTACATCTGAAAACAAAACAGGAAAACCAATTTCACCACTGAGAAAAGAGCAAAATTAAAGAGCATACACAGATACTTCAACAGTTATTAAAATATAAATGAATCAAATTGCTTGTGACCATTTGTTGTATTAAACTATAGATTTGCCTTTGCTTTAGAGTGGCACACAGCAGGATGTAAGGGACTGCCAAAGCCAAAAGTCATTTACCAACTACTATAAAATAAAAGAACATGCTACCACCAGGCTTTAGCTGTTAGAGGTGCTATGGGATCATCTCCTACTGTACAAAGAAATAAAGACGCCAAAGATGACGATTACTATATTCTTTGGGTGTCCTTTAAAAAACAGTGAACACTAATTTTCCTTAAAATAGCCATCCCTAAAATACTGCTTTATACTAGGCTGTCTATAAAGTCTAACAATATATTCTTGTTGTTGTGACGTTTCGAATGCATTCATACCAGATTCCTTCTCTATGGAGCCTTCACTCCTCTTGTAACTCCGGTCCACCTTGAAGCTTCTCAGCACTCGCTCTAGAACCCCCTGGCCTTCCCTCAGACGCTCAACAGTAGTGGGGACCATCCTTGGAAAACAGACAACTGTTAGATCTGCATTCATTTATTTATTTATCTGCTAGGCTCTGAATTATTGCAATTAACAAAGCCGAACATGTACTGAAAGTGAGTCATCTTTAAAAGGACTTCTCACCACTGGTTGTTGCTGTCCTGGCGTCTGGACTGCACTGACAAGCCCTGCTGCTCCGGAGGACTGACTTCCTCTACGTGTGGGACTGAGGTGGAGTGTGCTGAGGATGAGAAGGTGCTGTGTGGAGATGCTGGAAGCGGCATCTGCTGATGGTTATGAGGATGATGGGACTCCTTGTTGTAGTGGGAGGCAGGCTGTATGGAAGTGCCACCCAGAGAGGAGCTGCTGCTGGCTGGCTCCGAGTCACGACCGCTGCCCTGCTTCCTCTTGCGGTATTCCAGCAAAGACACCTACAGCAGCAGAGGGAAGAGGGAGTCTGTTCAAACCCTGCTGCTGAGCAACTGATGGACTCACTTATGCCAGGCTGCTCGCTCAATCACACCATTCACCAAGACTGCACTGAGTGACAGGCAGACCGCATGCACCACGCTAGAGAGGACTCACCTGAAAACTGTAATTACTATTAAAGAGTTTTTAGAGAAACACCTTCACCAGCAGAGAGCAACATCTGTTGTTCTTCCACGAACAGAGTCGTAGTCACGAGAGACTCAAACACAACGTACTGTTGCGTTGTCAATGCAGTGTTAGTACATAAGCTTCGACAGAGGAGCAAGCAACTTTAAATGCACCACACCATGATGCAATCACGCTGAAACAATAACTACGGAAACATATCCACAGAAGGTTCGAGCACACACACGACACATACACACACCTGCACTGTTTACAATGAGAATGCTCATCCCAGCTTAATGTCATCATGACACAAAAGAACAGACAGAGGGTTATGAAAGAGGCAGGGGAGTGGCATGACCACACACGCACACATCTATGTTTTTTTATTTATATTTATATATATAATATAAATATATATATGACTGACATGGATGGCTCCTGCCTGAATCTTTCAACCAGTTTAACATCACATGTGAGGTAAGCTACAAGGCTGTACTGTCAGAGGGACCAGATGTCAGGATCAAGTTACCACAGAGCACCAAAAGCTATCAGTTACCCCCCAATAAGGTCTACAAATGGTCGCCTATTAAAAGAGCATGAAAGATGTTTAAATGCCGAGCGCAGTTAATTATAAGATGTTTTTTATGCTTCTGTTGATTTTGATTTTAACAACCTTAAACGAAACTTAGATTGAAGAGTAAACAAGTCAACGTGGCTGACTGAAGCCAGATTTAGGCTGTGGTCAGTCTCTCTAGAGCAGGGGTAGGCAACCCCAGGCCTCGAGTGCCGTGTCCTGCAGGTTGTAGATTTGTCCTTGCTGCTGTGTCCACAGCTGATTTAAATGGCTAAATGACCTCCTTAACATGTCTGGGAGTTCTCCAGAGGCCTGGTATTGACATAATCATTCAATTCAGGTGTGTTGACCCAGGGTGATATCTAAAACCTGCAGGACACCAGCACTCGAGGCCTGGAGTTGCCTACTCCTGTTCTATAGCATATGACTTAACCTACATAAGTTGCTAACACCCTTTATCCATATGGATTAATTACCTTGTGCTCGTTTTCTAGTGTTTTGTTTTGCTGCAGTGCCAGCTGGTAGAAACCAATAAAATGCTGGGACTTTCTCTCTGGTCGTGATTGTTATTTTCTAACAGATGAATTCAAACCCTGCAGCTGAAAAGTACTCGGAAATGCACAGCAGGAATCGATGGTACTAAACAGGCCGATCACAATAGCTGAGGGTTGTGTCACCACAACAGTTATATTTCCAGGGAGGCGCACATCAGATTACAGCGTAGGGTTTCAGAGGGGTTTGAGATTACAACACGACTAAGGCACAGATTTTTTGTTAAGGCAGTAAGGAAGTACATATTACTGGCAGTCTGAGGAGCAAATGCTGCTTCACTGAACTAAGTTTTTCCAAGCAGCTTCAGAACAATTAGCAATCAGATTAATGAATGTTAATCTATGCATGCTACGCCCCTCTTCTGGTGCCACGTGATACTGTCTGTTTTCATTTTTGGGGGTGAGGGTTGCTGTAAACCACTTTGACAAATTTAGCCCCTCTTACAGTGGATGTGGATAAACCACAAGTCCCAGTTTGGAAAGAGCCATAGATGAGATGGAGCATGAGCACACCCGACACCATCATAACAATTTGTGGGATTTGTCTCTTGTGTTGAAGGCAATGGATGAACCTTACACACTTCAATGAGCTTGACTGAAATGGCAAAATAACTCTTTCTGGAAACTACAGAATCATAATTCGATGTAGGTTTTGGAGAAGGGGAGAGGGCAGAGCTGCTGGAGCATGGCGTGGGTGTTGTATGCAGATGCAAAGAAACAATATTTACATGCACACTTCTAAAGATGTAGTTGTAGGGAGAATATTCACCATATTTTGTACTGGCTTGTATTCACTTCTTACAGCTATTGCCTGGTAATCTGGCTTCCCTGTCAGCAGACTAATGGTATGCTGGTTGGCCCTCTGCCTTGGAAGAAAAGTGGAAGAGAGACTTGGCAAAGAGTGTCAAGGAGCAACGAGGAGGAGCAAGAGGAGGAGAGTAAAGGAAAAAGGAGGAAGGGTAAAATCTACAGACTGGAAATCATTTCAGATACAAATAAGAGGTCAGCTTCTAAATCCCTGCGATGTTTGGTTTTGAATACCGGACACAGGGGACCAAACAGATTTAAGACAAAGTTAATGGGCAAACAGAGCAAGGGGGAAAGCACATCATGAGTTCTGGCTTTTCAGTTTGTGTTTCACACAAGTTATTTGTGTCTGAGAAGTAACTTTACCTGCAAAGTTACCTCAAACATCTTTTCTGTGTTTCATTAAGAATTGGGGAACTTGCCTTCTTTTTTTGTGGTGGATTGCTGGTGTGAGGCGGTGTGCCATTGTCAGGGTAGCCTCCTCCAAAATGGGGCTCTCCAAACGGTGACATGGACCCGGGGCCCACTTCTCCAAACAGGCCCTGGCCGCTTATCGAACCGTGGAAGGAATCTGCAGGTGAGAATCCCCCTTCTGACTGGGAGAGGCGTCGGTCGGTGGCTGTCGGGTTGCCCAGGTTGGCGTTGAGGGGAGAGCAGGTATATATGAGGTTGAACTCTGTCCTGAAGGCCTGCTCCCTGTTTTGGGGGTTTATGTCTGACAGTGGGTTTAGGGAACTGGTCCCTACAGAAGATGGGCCCTGCGAATCTTGGCCTGCTCCAGATTGGGAAAAATCATCCGAGGTCATGGCAACAGGGCTCTCCATGTTGGAGGGGAGTGACAGGTCTGGGAACTGCAGCCGAGAGGCATCGAAGTCTGTCTGAAGACATGGCTGAAGGACAGGACAGAGGAAACGGGAAGAACAAATAAATAAACGTCATCGTTATGTCAACAGTAAAGCCATTTCCTTTATCAGTGCCATGATACGTGAGAAGAAATGTACCTCAGGGGATATGGACTCGGGACGATGGACAGGAGACGCCTCAGGGGATGATATGTTCTAGAGACAAAACAAAGTCTATTAGAGTCAAACCAAGCGTGT